GACTCCGGAAAATGTTGAGAGAGTGAGACAGTCATTTTTGCAGTCCCCCCGCCGTTCTGCTCGCAAACATGCGGCTGCTCTGAGGCTTTCGGACCGAACTGTGAGACGAATCCTTCACAACGAACTCCAATTTCATCCGTACAAACTGACTGTTGTGCACGAGTTGACTGACCGCGATTTCGTGGCCCGCCAAACTGCATGTGAAGCTCTCCTTGAAACTCTTCACCACGACGCGGTAACGTTCTTCAGCGACGAGGCTCACTTTCACCTTTCCGGCTGTGTCAACAAACAGAACATACGCTACTGGAGTGCTGAAAATCCACGTGAACTTCACCAAATCCCTCTCCATTGTGAGCGTGTTACCGTTTGGTGCGCAATTTCGTCGGTCGGGATCATTGGTCCTTATTTTTTTGAGGAAAACGAGCGCACTGTCACGGTGAATGCAGCTCGATACAGGAAGATGATCGAAGAATTTTTCCTTCCACATCTGGAAGAAATGGACGTCGGGGATGTGTGGTTTCAACAAGACGGAGCCACGGCCCACACAGCACGGGCCTCGATGGAATTGTTGAGGGAACACTTCCCTGACCGCCTCATCTCTCTCAGAGGTGATCTCCCTTGGCCGGCGCGCTCTCCAGATTTGACTCCATGCGACTTCTTCCTATGGGGTTATTTGAAGTCTATTGTTTACAACGATCGACCAGAGACCCTAGCTCACCTGAAGACAAACATTCGGAACGCCATCGCCGAAATACCGGTGGACATGCTTCAGAGAGTGACGCAAAACTTCAGAAATCGACTCAATCAGTGCATAGACAACGGCGACCGTCATTTGATAGATGTAATTTTCAAAAGTGCATGAAAAAAAATTTGGTGAGGTGATCTGTAAGAGGGAAAAAGAATTATACCGATATCTGCAATAGTTTCGTTTTTATTAACCTTTAAAAAAAGTAAGTTTCTCTGCCGCACCCTGTACATATGAATTAAGATATATTTCAAACATTTTATTTTTATTAAACACATTTTTGTAATTTATTTACTTTATTTGTTATAATTTTTTCGTGCAATACTAAAATTTGAAAAGCATATAATGACAAAATAATCTAAACTTTTTTTGTATAAGTACTTTAAATATTTAAAAAATGCAATTATAAGTTTCATTGCGACGCAAAAATTAGGTGTTTAATAAAATAAGAAAACAATATATTTTGTTAACAATAACATAAATTAAAAAAAGAGCTGATGAGCAAAGCTGATTAATTATATGTATGTCTGCAATTATAAATTTATATACACAAAAATTTAAACACTGTCGAGAGTTTCAATCCGAAATATTTTGTTCATTTACAGAATAATATAACTCTGCAATTTCTGTATCTAAAACTGAAACATCTATCGAGTGATATAAATGTGAATTAAAAAAAAAATAGAATATATATGCATTTCAGCTAAAAATATAATATTATTTTTCTTCTATATATAAACTAAAATTGTACATATAACTATGAGTGCGTTCAGCAGATTTTTGGAATGTCTGCCGAAATAAGATTACTCCTCTAGATTTTAAAATATAATTTAATCAGCGCGAAGATAACTTCTAACAATTGTAAAGTAAATATTCTGCTGAATAGAGAAGGAGGGAGGAGGAGGAGGAGGAGGAGGAGGAGGAGGA